CAAGTCAGTTATTAAAACATGTACACTGTTCTATATAAACAGACTTTAAAATATTTTTAAACATAGCGAGAGATGGTACAGGTTCCATATGTAATGTACCTTAAAGCTCATTCCATATATACGGACAATAATTAGAAAAAGCAGAACGATCTATCGCTGTATGAAAAATCGGCATCTTAAGTAAGAGTTTATCTGTTGATCTGGTATTATAAATTTTTGTGCATAATAATAATAATTTGTGCAGTATGTCAACAAACTAGATATATACATTTACATTTACATTTAATCATTTAGCAGACGCTTTTATCCAAAGCGACTTACAAATGAGGACAATAAAAGCAGTCAAAACTAACAAAAGAGCAACAATATATAAGTGCAAATGATAAGTCTCGGTAAGCCTAACGCAGTACACGTAGTAAGGTGTATATATATATATATATATATATTATACACACACACATATACACACACACACGCACACACAGAAAAACAAGTAGATAGAATAGAAAAAATAGAAAGCCAGTATTTTGTTTTGTTTTTTAAATTAAAAAAAGAAGATAAATATAGATAAAGTAGAATTAAAATAGAATAGAAAGTGCTAGAGTTAGAGGGTCAAATAAAGTTGGAACAGATGTGTTTTTAGTCGTTTCTTGAAGATGGTTAAGGACTCAGCTGCTCAGATTGATTTGGGCAGATCATTCCGCCAGGAGGGAACAGTTCATGAAAAAATCTGTGAAAGTGATTTTGTGCCTCTTTGAGATGGCACAATAATATGCCGTTCAATTGCAGAACGCAAGCTTCTAGAGGGCACATAACTCTGAAGTAATGAATTTAGGTAAGAGTTGAAGGTGATGGTCCATCATCCAACAAGAAATGTCTGTTAGACATGCTGAGATGCGAGCAGCTATCGTCGGATCATCAGGATGGAATGAGAGGTAGAGCTGAGTGTCATCAGCATAGCAGTGATATGAAGAGCCATGTTTCTGAATAACAGAGACAAGTGATGCCATGTAGATAGAGAAGAGAAGTGATCCAAGAACTGAGCCCTGAGGCACCCCAGTAGCTAGATGTTGCGACTTGGACACCTCACCTCTCCAAGATACCTTGAAGGACCTATCTGAGAGGTAAGACTCAAACCACTGGCGTGAGGTTCCTGAGATGCCATTTTCCAATAATTAAACATTGACATGAAATTTTGAAAGATTAATGAAAGTTTAGAAAAAAATGTAATTGCCAGTTTATGTTAACTAATGAATTAACTAATGTTAATAATGAAACCTTATTGTAAAGTGTGACTGAACAATAAAGAATCAAAACATTTTCAAACAATATCTAGGGCATGTTGTTGTCCAGATTAAAATGTAAAAAAAAGTTTGAAAATAAATAACCTATTAAGTCTAAATATTTAAGTATTTGGCACTGTGATGAACACCATAGCAAATACACAAACCTGAATGGCTGTTTAAGCGCTGCACATCTGCTTTGTTTCTGGGGTTTCCGGGGTAACAGCTCCATTTCTGCTATTCAGCACCACCTGCTGTCAGAGAGTGAATGTGCGCTTTCATTCAGCGCCTCATACACTTCTCATCCTTGCTTGTTTACATGAGAGTGCGCAGCGGTGTTGTGCATTGTGACCAGGTGATGGGAAAAGTATTCTTAAAATGCATTAAAAAAATCGGAATAATTTGTAATAAATAATTATTCACGGTATTTTCGAACAAGCCTAATAGGGTGGCAGTCGTGGCCTAATGGTTAGAGAGTCGGACTTGTAACCCAAAGGTTGCGGGTTCGAGTCTTAGGTCCGGCAGGCATTGTCGGTGGGGGGAGTGAATAACCAGTGCTCTCCTCCACCTTCAATACCACGACTGAGGTGAGACCTGTGAGCAAGGCACTGAACCCCCAACTGCTCCCCAGACTGCCCACTGCTCCGTGTGTGTGTTTACGATGTGTGTGTTCACTACTGTGTATGTGCACTTGGATGGGTTAAATGCAGAGAACAAATTCTGAATATGGGTCACCATACTCTCCACATGTCACTTCATTCACTCACTCACTCATTATCATGATAGCCTATATCGCTTTACCGAATACCGGCTAGAAGAGAGCGCTCAGTGAGTGCACAGGACGGATTAGCTGATCGACTATAGATAGCGAGAGATGGCAGATATAAAAAAAAAGAGGAAAATTTTGGAGGAACAAAACATTAAAAAGAATTGGGTTCAGGCAAGAGGTAGGACCGCGTAACTACTGGAGCAGCTTTCCAGCAGTGGAGAAACTCAAGGAGCGGAAGGGAATCGGATGCCGAGGTTGCTTTGTTTCTTCTTAATAGGTGAATTACGCTGATTTTGCGACACAAATTCAATTGCTGATTTTTTGTGTGCTTTAATATGCTGCGGCCGGCAGACATGGCAGATCCACCATCGTCGCTGCCGGGGTTGTGTACGTACGTGTGGGCGGAGTTATCAAAATAGGGGTGCTATGTGCTGTACATACTGGTTTTCTCACATTTTTTGGCCATATTCAGGTGCATTTGTAAGTAGGTTAGAATACTGAAAGAACATGCAGGTCTTTTCTCTGATTATATAAAGCACCATCAATTGTTGTTACCACCACACAGTGTGTTTGAGCAATCAGGTGTTATGTAGGAAATTTTTGTTCACCAAAAAAAAAATAATAATGGTTTGAACATCAAGAATCAGCCTATGAATCTAAACAAGTGTGAGAGTCAACAAACAAATAAACAGATTTAGATCTCTAAATCACTAAAACAGTAACAACAAAACATTAACAGAAATAACAACAAATAGTAAGAATTACAGAAAATAACAGGACAATTCAGCTTCAACTTTTAAATGCTTTCTGAAAAATGATAAAAAAAATTATAATAATAACATTTAAGTGGTAGCTGCCATAAAAAATTGCTCATTGTCTATTTGTCTGCCTTGTTGTCAGATTATATTTACACTGATACTCCGCCCACCATGGTCTGATTGAGCGGGACAAAGGAAACATGTCTGGTAACAGGATCAGTGATGTGGAGAGTACACACAGTCAATAGAGACTGAGAAATTATTTTACAAGAGCAAGTGAATGATTTCTATCACATCACATTAATTATAAAATACTTCCGCTTCATTTGAAACCATTTAAATTGATCTGAATAATGACACTATATTGTATTTTGTAGATTTGCTTTGTATGTGTAAAGCTGCTTTGAATCAATGTATTGCATAAAGCTCTATAGAAATAAACATGACTTTACTATGTCGTTGGAGAAACATAAGTAAAATTCAGGGTTTCCAGACTTTTTACCATGATTTAAAACCTAATTATATCATTAAAATCATAATGTGTAAATAGATGTTTTAATAACAAAAATATGGCCTATTTAAGTATATGGTGTTATTTGATAAACACCAAAAAAATTAATCTGAATGCCTCTTTAAAAACATATAAATACGGTTTGACGCAACAGTGTGTATTATATTTCTGATAGCACACATACATCACGGAGACGTCTGTTTGACATCTGCATTCACAATTGGCAGATCTGTCTTTGTGAAGGACGCATGGCTCAAGCCACATACAAGATTATCCTTAAAGAAACATTTCTGACAATGTTCCCCAATGTTTTTTCCCACAGGAAGATGTGGGAAACAAACATGATTTTCCTGTTTAACACTTAAAAGCTGCTTTAACATTCTGTATTGTATAAATCGCTGTATAAATAAAGGTGACAACTTGACTTCATAATGTAGTTCAATGTCTCTGCATGCCTGCAGACCTGAAATGCTGTTAACAGAAGAATAAAGATGTTTGACTGTTCTGCTATTGTACGTATGAACAGGGTTGACTGTACATACTGGTTTTCTCACATTTTTTGGCCATATTCAGGTGCCTTTGTAAGTTAGAATAATGAAAGTACATGCAGGCCTTTTCTCTGATTAGATAAAGCACCATCAACTGTCTCATAAACATTGCGATACAATGTCAGTGTATAGCATCTGATCTTGGGTCTTCAGAAATGAAAGTACATGCAGGCCTTTTCTCTGATTAGATAAAGCACCATCAACTGTCTCATAAACGTTGCGATACAATGTCAGTGTATAGCATCTGATCTTGGGTCTTCAGTTTTTCTTTTTTCTTTTTTAAGTTCAGTGATCATGGACATTTTCTCATTGATTGCATTGCATAAACATTGCAGCACATTTTTATGTTCCCACATGAATATACAGAGTAAAATATTGAACTTGTCATGTTTCAAGATTTCATATTAGTCAATGTTCTTTTATCACAATATCCAAGTTAAGTGAAAACAGGTGAATTTTAAACAATTTCACTACTTCAAGCATGAAGCAGATGTTAGTATTTATGAAACTTAAAAAAAAAAGATAAAATTAAATTGAAACATTTTTCAATGTAAAAAAAAAAAAAAAAAGCACAGACCGAACCAAATCTAAGATTCACAGACATTTAATAGTGGTGAATACACAAAAATCATAAACAGATATAGTAAGAAAAAACATTGATCGCTGTACATGATTCATACCAGTCCCAGAAATGCAACATTCACAGACATTTTTTTATATATTTAATCCACATTTCCGTATACTGGCGCTAAATATGGAGATGGATGGTGGATTGAATGTGCATGCCTTGTGTGTATTTCATGATGCATGTGTGAAATAAATTGTGAAGAATGATGGATTTTGTTCTTCTGTGTCGTTCATGCTCCTGCATGCTGTTTTTTCAAAGGCTTTCAAAAAGTTGTGGGGACGACATCGACTTTAGTAAAAAGTGGTGATAACATCCCACCCACATTCCACAAAATGAATGAAAAGCTATGAAAGCTCAGGATAAGATTTTTTTTCTGAAAATGAGATGAACGTAGTGTTGGGGTGGAGACAGAGAATTCTTGATAAATGCGGTGGTTCTTGTTCTCCATCTCATCAGAAACCTGACAGTCAAGAAACAGTCCGATCACAGAGCAGAATAATAATTATGAAGTTCAACAGCACTTTGAGTGTTGCTGCAATCACACTTCTCTACATAACAGGTAAGAGCTTACAAAAAGTCTATAACGTGACAAAATTAGATGTACATTTAATAATGTTTGTTTCAGTTGTTTCAAATTCAAGCCATTTAATTCCTAAGAACGGACCCACTTTATATTAAGTGGCCTTAACAACTATGTACTTACATTTAAATTAATAATTTGGTACAATGCACTTATTGTGTACATACATGGTTTTACATTGTACTTATATTTAAAAAATACCTGCATGTAATTACATCTGTAATTAATTTATGTAATTACATTTATAATTACACTGTTGACCCATCCCTTACACCTTAACCCACCTTTAAACCTACCCATACCAACAAACCTGTCCCTAACCTTACCCGTATCCCACCTCAATAGCAGCAAAAGTGTTTTGCAATACAATATGAACACAAGTACATTGTACTTAATTTGTGATGTAAGTACATATTAGTTAAGGCCACTTAATATAAAGTGGGGCCCTAAGAACCTTTGTAAACACACTTGACAATTTATGTTTCTCATGACTGTAAAAACTTTTGGATCTGACGACTTACGGTTAAATGCTTGAAATTGGTTTTGTAGGTAAACACGAATTCTGCATTTGTATGAATGTCTTTATAAATACATAATGTATGTATTTTAATGGATGAGTTTAGTTGATGTAAATTCCAGGATGTCAAGAATCAGGATGCAGTTGAGTGAATTTGAAGAAGCTAAAAGATAGTTTTGATTTGTGTAATATTTTGGTCACTACATAAATCCAATTCTTTTAGTTATGTCAGTTATAGATTTGATGACTTTAATATTATCCCAAAATGTGGAAAATAGTGATAATTATAAAGAATAAACAGTGTCAAAACTTTTATGAAATACTTGTAAAATACGGTAAAACACTGTAATATACTGTAAAATTCGTGAGCAAACTACTCACACATTGTTTGAAAACACACACAAAGGCATGCACACAATTATTGTATATTCAGTAACGCTCACTAAATGTTTATGGGCATAAAACTCAGAAATAACCCTATAGAGAAACAGAAGCATCTCATTCACAAACGCACTGCATGTAAAACTAAACTGATTTAGGTAAGTTACTTTAATCACGTCATGAATATTAAATAATTTAACAGGTATTTTGGCTAAAATCCATAAACATTATTATAGAGGTAAAGTTTTTTTTTTGTTTTTTTTTCATGCTTTCATGCCATTATGCACCAGCACTGATGTAACAGGTGGGCGACACAAACCAGTTTATCAGCTCTTTCTGGATGGCTCTCTGTTTACTTTGCCTTTGCCTTTGTCTTTCCATACAGGTTCGCTCTGCCAGTTAGATGGTAAGTGGTCATAAAGATAATAAAACTCATAGATGTGTCTTCTGTGTCTGTGAGGCACTTTAAGAAGGAAATCTCATATCTTTCTTTCTCTCATCAGTATGTGGTCGAGCCCCCCTCAATAACAGGATTGTTGGAGGGGAGAATGCGACGGCAGGTGATTGGCCGTGGCAGGTCAGCATTCATCTCACCTTTCAGGACGTCAACTTTGGCCATTTCTGTGGCGGGACTCTCATCAATAAAGACTGGGTTTTATCTGCAGCTCACTGCTTCCAGTGGTATATGTTGAAAGCTTAAATAAAGCTTAAGATAAATTTGTAGATTGGTAATAGTGGGATTAAAGCAGACTTTCTGTATTTACAGGTTCAATGCATCTTACATTGTGATGTACTTTGGGCGTCTGAACCAATCCGGCTTTAACCTTTTTGAGACAAACAGGACAGCGAGACGAAACATCAACCATCCTAACTTTAACATTTCTAATCTTGACAACGATGTAGCACTGGTCCAGCTCTCCTCCTCTGTGACTTTCTCTGATTACATAAGGCCGGTCTGTCTGGCAGCGGCTGGGAGTGTATTTGGTGGAGGTACGGAGAGCTGGGTCACTGGATGGGGCAGACTACAACCTAATGGTAAGTGAACATTTGCTTGCCAGTTAACTGAATGCAAACATTACTGTAAACCTCAACAGTTTACCTAGAAATTTTTTTTTAAAAGCCAGAAAATGTGTCCTCTGATCTGTCACAGGCACCCAGCTTCCTGACATACTGCAGGAGGTGATGATACCAATTGTGAACAACAGTGCCTGTGCTAATGCTTATGGAGGGGTCAACATAAGCATCACAAGCAATATGATTTGCGCTGGATTGTTAAATCAGGGAGGAAAAGGTGCATGTCAGGTAAGACATCAGTCATTCATTTGAACCGTTTTTAATCCAAATCAGTTTGCAAAACACTACTTGTAGTGACCCTTACTTGATTTAAAAGGTTCATTAGTCACTTCTTGTGTCTGCTGGGGAAATTTTAGACACCTCTTTGTTGGCTCCTTTATATCCACTAAAATCCAGGAAAATGAAGTAGATCACAGTTGATTTATTAATCTTGTATGTTACAAAAATAAACTGATGCAACTTAACATTGAAAGTAAAAAACAAAATAATTCAAGCTGTAAATTTTAAGAGCACCAGAAAACATTGAAAGGGAGAAAGAAGGTCTAAAGACTGTGTGCTCCCAGCAGACCACACCATCATCATTAGACACCTGTGGCTTTATCTTATGGTTTGTCCTGTAGAGGGCGCACACAAACTCCAGAAAACATACAAGTAAGAAGGGAAAACATAAAACAATATGGCAAAACCTATAAATGGCTCCTACACTACTCACCAGTTTTGTCATCTGTAAACTTTACACTGCCAGTCTAATTTCTTAATTAAGCCCCGTCTTTAATGCACTGATCATGAACTCTTACTCTACGACTGATTTATGATACAATACCTGTAGCCTGTTGCTTAAACGGCTTAGTCATCTAATATTTTTTTTTTCAAGACTGTTCATAACTTTTTTAAAGTCAGTTACATAAAAACATAGATAGGACTAATCTGAATATGAAAAATAAGACTGATTACCACTTGGTACCACTTGCTAGATCGGGCAAGCTCACACTACAGGACTACGAGACTACATGAACCGGCATGGTGCTCATAATACACAACAAGTTTTGTAGTCACATGTCGCCTTCTTGTTTTAGCATGCACTCATAATACACAACACAATGCCGATTAGGTGCACAAACTATCTTTGACCAAGCGGCAACCCCGATGAACAACAAAAAAACACTTTCTCATATGAATTCATGCAAGACTTTAGCGAGACACTCATGCTCGCTGTCCAATCATATGTGCAGAAAAAAAGATGAGACAAAAATACAGAATACACGCAGACTGGTTTTCCGTGTCTGTTCGGCAGAAAACTGATAGCAAATAAAATGGTAACACTTTAGAATAAGGTTCCATTAGTTAATGTATTAGCTAACATGAACAAACAATGAATAATATATTTATTACAGTATTTATCAATCTTAGTTAATGTTGGTAAATTAAAATAAAGTCATTCATTGTTAGTTCATGTTAATTCACAGTGCATTAACTAATGTGTGAGGGGCTGTCGAGCTCTTTTGTATTTATTTATTTTATTATTAAAATCTTTAAATGTTCGCTGGTTCCCGCCTCCGTCTTCCCGATCTACGAACTTTGTTACAACTAATAATCCATGCAAATTGTGCTGATGAAGAAATTTACGGTAGTCATGCATATTGTGCGCACAATGCTCTTCTGGAAACGCACAGCTGGATGTGCTTGAGAGGGCTTTGGAGGCAAAATTCACGGAAATAATGTGTTACTAGTATCTGATTTCACGGATCATTTGATTTATCCACAATTACTGACCAGAAATATTAACTTCTCCACTGTTATTTATAGTTGTAGCATGTGACGGTTGGCTTGTGTGGCATTTGTCTAACCCCTCCTCCACTGTGATTGGACAGCTGAGTAAAAAGTGACAGTGATGAGTGCTACATTTTACACATAGACTGTAAAAAAGATGGACGACACATCACCACTTCCTTTCACTGTAGAAAAATTAAGCTTATTTAAAATTTAAAAAATCTTTTGTAACGTTATAAAAGTATGTACTGTCACTTTTTATCAACTTAATGCATCGTCGCTGAATAAACATTACTGTACTCAAATGTATTAATGTACACAAAAAATATTGTGCAGCACTACTTTTGTTCTAAAGCACTGCAGCATAGCAAGATAACTAGGAGAGATCAAGGTGAACATCTTCAATTTTTGCAGGTACCAAAAACTAATAAAACAGAAACTAAATAGGAGAAGTGAAACTGCTGTAAAATATCTAGTCAATAGTCAAACCATAGGAGAGTACTGAACAGTAGCAATCAAGTGATCTTTCATTTTATTTTATTTTATTTTACCATCCAGACTCATGTTTGACTAAGACTTTTTGTGCTGCACACTTCATGTGTAAATCAAATAGCATAAAAAACATGTGTGATCGTGTAAATATTGGCACTATAAAAATATAACATTTAACTACAATTCAACTACACATAAATAAATTGTGGAATACATGATAGAGAAATGTTTTTTCTATCTATGAGTGTTAAAATGATTGGCTAGTGGCAGACCTCACCTATATAAGCAGATTGTTGCAATAAAAAGCCTTTGCTGTCTTCAGATTTAAACTCACGCAGCTCCAGTCTGACCGGCGTTACCGGACTGGGGTTGATGGTCAAAACACCTGCGTTAACAATCGCTTTCATTTAACTGTAAAATACAGTAATATTTTGATGACAGCAGCTTGAACGATAAAAGATGAATACAGTTCCAGTTTTTTACTGTCACTGTTAATGGCCAAGACAGCTCTCTGATTAGCAGACATTAACAATGACTGAATGCCGTTCTCCATATTATTTTAATTTTTACACGTGTTACATATTTTCTTTTTATCAATGTAGACAGTCTACTCAAATCTGTGATGTTTTTTTCTGGACTATGAATAATATGATAATAATAAAATGAAAATGTAGTAGTTTTGTCAGGATAGATGATGATCAAATCTGATCTGAGAAGTTAGACCCGCAACAAAATGCTTTACAGTTTAATGCCTGTCGCCCTGTTAATCGTTCAGTTCAAATTTGAATTGCTTTAAAACTCTTATTTTCTGTGGTTTTACCTTACTGCGAATTCTTTACAGCGCATTTGATATTAATCATTTTATTTCAACTGTAGTCATGCAATTCACATTCATGACCCCCTTTTTTTCTTTTTTTTTTTTTTTTACAAATGATACTCTGTGCCCATAATATATATAATAAATTAATAAATTAGCCAGTAAAAAAAATCTGACTTGATGGTAAATTACCTTAGAAGTAATATTATTAGGCATCTATTAGAGAAAAGTTTCTAAAAAGTGCATCTAGTACCACATTAATCGTAATTTATAGTCTTAAGATTTGTGGATAAAAGTATTAAATTAAAAATAAACTCTTGGATACAAGCTAGGGGTGCTTGATTGATTCATTCATTTTTGTTTGATGTGTTGTTTTATAGATGTTTTGTCGTTTTAATTTGAATTTGGCGCTTTTTTTTGCCGTTGATCCCGCCTCGCGGCGATGACGTCATCACTAGCGCTGGTTCATTCAGTCAGCGTCCAAAAATATAACATTTAACTACAATTCAACTACACATAAATAAATTGTGGAATACATGACAGAGAAATGTTTTTTCTATCTATGAGTGTTAAAATGATTGGCTAGTGGCAGACCTCACCTATATAAGCAGCTTGTTGCAATAAAAAGCCTTTGCTGTCTTCAGATTTAAACTCACGCAGCTCCAGTCTGACCGGCGTTACCGGACTGGGGTTGATGGTCAAAACACCTGCGTTAACAATCGCTTTCATTTAACTGTAAAATACAGTAATATTTTGATGACAGCAGCTTGAACGATAAAAGATGAATACAGTTCCAGTTTTTTACTGTCACTGTTAATGGCCAAGACAGCTCTCTGATTAGCAGACATTAACAATGACTGAATGCCGTTCTCCATATTATTTTAATTTTTACACGTGTTACATATTTTCTTTTTATCAATGTAGACAGTCTACTCAAATCTGTGATGTTTTTTTCTGTCTATTAGAGAAAAGTTTCTAAAATGTGCATCTAGTACCACATTAATCGTAATTTATAGTCTTAAGATTTGTGGATAAAAGTATTAAATTAAAAATAAACTCTTGGATACAAGCTAGGGGTGTTTGATTGATTCATTCATTTTTGTTTGATGTGTTGTTTTATAGATGTTTTGTCGTTTTAATTTGAATTTGGCGCTTTTTTTTGCCGTTGATCCCGCCTCGCGGCGATGACGTCATCACTAGCGCTGGTTCATTCAGTCAGCGTCCATCAGTCTTCTGAGGAGAGGTGAGCGGTTCACGGTTTTTCGTTTATTTAAACTAATAATATAAAACTGAATTGACACTGTATGTTTATACAACAATATATGAGGCCGTTGTTGTTTTGTATTCATCGGGTACAGCGCTGTTTGTGTGTTTGCTGAGTTAAATAGGCCTAAACATTATCAACAGCAGATAACAAGCCTGTGAGGAAAACATGTTAAGTTCTTTCAGCGCTGAGCGATTTTGTGTGTGTGTGTGTGTGTGTGTGTGTGTGTGTGTGTGTGTGT